ATGGAATAGTAATGTTGTTTCAAGTTATTTCCAAAACATTGGATTTATCGATTAACCCAACAAATATCTAAGTTAAATTTTTTTTTCTTGACAGTGCTGGGGTTTGAACTCAGGCTTCATGCTTGCTAGAGAGGTGCTTTACCACTTGAGCCACTCCACCAGTCCCCCAACAAATATTTAAAAGATCTACCTGCTTTGTGCCAGTGGCTGTTCCACTTGTTTGAGCAGTAAAGCTTACATTTCAGTAAGGACTAGCGGAGGCCAACAACAGATCACAAATATAACAAATAACTAAAATGTGCAGAGGGTCAGACTGTCATAGTGCCACGGAAAAATAGAACAGAGATGGACAGAGATGCAATTTAAAATGAGGTAGTCAGGATAGGAACACTTGAGAAGATAACATTTGAATAAAGACCTGAAAGAATATGTACAGGGTGAGCCTGTGGATTTGTAAAGATAGAATATTCTAGGCAGACAGCAAAGCAAAAATGTTGAAATCAATCATTCGTTGATATCTGCCTATGCTTGTACCAGGAAAATAATATAATCAAAGCAATATTCTATAGATGAATACATTAATATTTGTGATATTTCTTTTACTATAATCTATTTAATATTAATCCAATAAAAATTTATTTTGAGATGGCGAGGTCTCATTCTGTAGTCCATGCTGGCCTTGATCCTCCTGCCTCAGCCTCCCTAGCAGCTGGGATTACAGGCATGTGCCACAGCACCTGGCTATCCAGTATTTAGTGAGAACAAACTCAATGTGTTAGGTGATAACAATGATAGACATGGTTTTAGTCGCTTACAGTTTAATGGAGGAAGAAGAGACAAGTAAATTGGTCTGTACAGTACACTATGGTAGGGGTGGTACAGGGGCAGAGAATAGGAGAAGCTCTCCTAGATTACAGGAGAGAGAATTTTAAAAAGAAAGCTACTAGAAATCAATCTTTCATTTCTACTCCCAATAGCAAAAATATCAGAGCAGACAGTCTATAAAACCAACTAATAAATGCTGCACATGTATTTAATTCTCCAGAAATTCCTAAAAGGAATGGAGGTACTTTTTGAATGCAAACAGTCTGCTTTGTCTAAAAACTAAAATCAAACCATCTTGTTCATACTGTGGTATGAACTTCTGACACTGGTATCCACTAACTATTAGCATAAAAAGACTGCATTAGAGCAGCTCTTTGGAATTCTCTCTTCAGATAGATATTCCCAGAAAGTGAAGAACTACCTCCCTATTATTTTGCTGTCTACTGAGTACTTGAGATTTTCCTAAGTGCCCAGTGTCCCTATGTGAATTTTAAAAAATTTGTCCTGCTCTGGAGCCTCAGACACTGAGTGTCCATTTGCAGACACTACCTTCATAGATAGATGTTACTTGAATAACTTGAATAGAGATATTCTAGACCAAGTTACAAGTTACATGAGGCCTTTCAAGCTACCAGAAAGTTATGAGATGGTAAACATCCAGAGTAGAAATGGCACTAGTGACTTTGATGAAAGAAATATAGATGAGGTAAGAGCTGAGGCACATTGGTATGGGAGTGGGACAGGGGTACATGGTCTGCAGAACTATATATTTGTTCTACTGCATATTTAAGAGATGATGATTTCCCATTTTCATGGAGCCCAATTCCTTGACTAGTCAGGAATGGAAACTCTAACTTGGGATTGAGAAAATTCTCCTCTGTTGAGGAAATAATGTTTTCTGACAATAAGTGACACAAATTCTAGTTGGAATTCTTAAAGACATAAATAAAGGAAAAGAACTGTACATGAAAATGTGGAAATAGCAGGCTAGAGAATTAGATTTTTATCATTTTAAAAACCATGGATACTTTTCCAATAATGCCCACAGTGGAAAGCCACTGAATTCTTTAGCAAAAACTGTGAATATTTATACAACTTACATGCATATATCTACTGTACAACTTGGCTATTTTTAGGTCTGATGTACCTAACATTAGATACCAGTGAAGATTCCTGTTTCATAAATCACTCTGAAGGCTGTATCCATAAAAACAGAACATCCTAACAGCTTAACTGATGAGGGAGACACAGAATGTTGGAAAAAAGTCAATTCAAGTACAAATTTCCAACACGGTAGGAAGAAACATGATTTTATCAACTGAATTTAGGGTAATGCTAGTTAAAATGGTAAAAGATAAAAAGAAGGAAGAATAGGATAAAGGAAATTTGACAAAAATAGTGACTGAAGATAAACACTAAGTTGAAATGGACCACCAATGCTATTATATGAGTGTTATCATCTCATGCAACAGAAGGAATCATGATCAATTTCTAAGTCATAAAGAAAGCCCAACTTATTACAAAAGGAAAATATTAACCAAACTTATAGAGATGGCAATAAAATGTAACAATCATGGTTACTAATTTTTATTTTTATCTTAAAATTTAATCCCCTCAAATCAGATAAACATTTCCATATTATGTAAATAACATGTTCAACTTTTAAAATACAGTAAATAGAGATATGTAATCTCCTTCCAAGTATTATTATCCTGGGCAGAACTTACACTGAAATATTTAAACACTCTCTACAACACTCTATTGCCTCTGAGAGGTAAAGAATTCATGAATTTATAATGGTAACCAAATGAAAACACAGAGTAAACTTTCTAGATGAAAATATGGCTTTCCTAATAACCAAAGGCTGAAAAACAAGAACAATGTAATATGCACTAGATTCATATTGTAGGGAATGTGTTTGTATCTAATCTAATGCTTGCATACATTACTTCTATGCTTTAAGAACAGAGTAACAATTGTAATTTTGCTCTGAATCAAAATAACAGAATCTGTCATTTGACATGCTGTAGTGTTGCACATTCATCATCATTGTTCACAGAATAATTGTATGCTTCTTTTTACTACTATTTTGAAGCGGTTTGTCTCTTTAAAAATGCTACTCAAACTATCTTCAGCATGAATCTCACAGTCAAAATCAGTCACTACATTTCAACACATTTTCAACATGCTCATACATATACTTATGCATATCTATTTTGATAAAATGCGATTCTTACATGCCTAGTATGTTATTTCACCACAATTTGCATTGTTATAATAGGTTATTGATTGATTTTCAGTTTAAGGGACTAAAGTAGTATTCAGTAATGACTGAGTGCTATAAGTTTATTGCAAGTGCCCAAGGTTCATTCACCCCAAGCAATTTAGTCAATAACCAATTTTTATACTTCTATCTCCTTCAAAATTCCAAACCAATAATCTCTGTTTTTTTTAATTATTTCAGTATCAGACTAACATTTCCCATGAAAATCAATATGGGTGCGATCCATTAGCCAAAAATCTGCAGCACTGCAATGCAAACATATTAAAAATATTGATCTTGCAAAGCTAGTGATGTTTTGATTGACTTTAATGTTTGTAAGCAGCAATAACAGAATTTCAATGACTGAAACAAACTTTTGATTAAAATTATAGATTTTTTTCTTTGCAGGGGGTGATTTGCTATTTTACTGGTTAAAGCACATCCCATGGCTTACTTGCCTGTCACAAATGAGTACAGTGGGATATATATTATCCAATTTCTTATTTGTAAATATTTCAGTCCATTATAGATTACACATCTTTAATCTACCTTGAACTGCTCTGACATTTCAATTTCACTTCTCATTATATCACATAGTAAGGTAGAATTTTCAAACTGAGAGTGGCAGGAATAGAAAGCTTTAATCTTTCTTTTACCATTATGCAACCTTTGGGATGGTATTTTATTCTCAGGTTAAATTCCCCAAATGTAAAATGGAATTAACCTTGGAATCAATGAACATTCTCATACCTTTTGAGATCAATGGAGAACAAAGACCATTGCACATGCAAAAGATTATCCAACCCATGGATAGGTCTCTTAAAAAAAAAAATCACAGAATTTTGCAGCTGTTCAGTGATCACCCAGCATTGCTCTCATTTTATATATGATGAGATTGAGATCTCAAAGGGTCAATGACAAATTAAGAGGCCCTTGACTAGCCTGTCTACATACACTGTGCCCCATCAAGCATTTGTGAATTTAATTTTAATCTTTACATCACTGTCTAAAATAATGTATGCATATTTATTTACTTATTACTTATTTTCCTTCTAAAATTTAAGCTTGATGCAACAGGAGTTTTTGTTATTATTTTCACTGTCAAATCCCTTGCATCTACAATAGTATCTAAAATATAAAAAGGCTCAAAAAATGTTTTTAAAATAAATGAATGAAGGAGCCAGAACCACTAATAGAATGGTTTGGCTGAGTGCTGGTGGCTCATGCCTATAATCCTAGCTACTCAGGAGGCAGAGATCAGGAGGATTGTGGTTCAAAGCCAGACTAGACCAGGCAAATAGTTCCTGGGGATCCTATCTTGAAAAACCCTGCACAAAAAAAGGGCTGGTGGAGTGGCTCAAGGTGAAGGCCCTGAGTTCAAGCCCCAGTACAGCAAAAAAAAAAAAAAAAAAAAAAAAAGAATGGGTAGGGGAGAAGCAGGAAGAAGGACTTGATTCTCTTAAACTTCAGTTCAGTGTTATTATAAGGATTCTTCTTAGTATTCTCAATTTACTTCCCTGCATTCTAAAATATAATTATCAACAAGGATTCAGGTCTACATTATATATATTTTGTCAAAGGTCATGGAAAATTTCACACTTAAGAGTTGCATTATTAAATTATTAATCCTTTGTCTAGACTTTTCTCTAGTTTCTAGTATGCTAAAATTATAAAAATTAGTTTTTTACTTGTGACATTTCACTGGAATAAAAAAATGCAACAATTATTTAAATAAAAAAAGAAAATTAAAAATTATCTACTTTCAGCTACTTATTTCATTTCTGCTTTACTTAATCCCATGTGGTCCTTCAGGGGAAGTACTAGGGATAACTTGCAAATGTTCAGGGACTTTGACCTCTTTTCCCAAAATTACCCTAAACACATACATAATGTATCTAAGTATTAAAAGCACCTTGGAGAGAAATTCCCTGGCCCTCCTGCAGGCTGCTACCACAAGCAACCTTAGGGAACCACCTATGGTGCTTCCGCACTCTGTTGGATGTTGGAGAGGTAGTGGGTCTGCAATCATAAGATCTGGGTTAGAACCACGACTCTGCTGCTTATAAAACCATATGGACTTTGGTTTATTCATCTGTAAAAACAGACTGTAACTCTCACTATAAAGACTCTCAGTATGAAGATAAGCCCTGACACGTAAACAGGACAGACAATGCACACAAAGTTTGCATATAGGGTTCATTCTCGTTCACATACTAGTGAGGGGGAAAAGCTAACTTAATGCTTTCAGTTTCTTAGTACCATGTTTTTCCCTTTAAAATGCTTACTTCTGTGAATAGTAGATACAAATGAAGTCTGCTTATAAAGATGACAGTTCAGAAACTAAAACTAGAAAAGATATTTAGATGTGGGACTACAAGTAGTTCTGGAGAATTAAAAAGATGCAGACTGGAAGGTAAAACTATTTCAAAGAATGAGCTATGTGATCAAATGGTGAAAAGATGTACTTTGGTTGTTGAAGATAACTCTATATAAGTAGTAGGGCCTAAGAATGGCAGATGATGTTACAATTGGAGCACTTGACCCCACTGTTAGCTACATTCTAAGTGGTCTGTGCTTTATAAGTATTTACTCTCAGTTTGCCCTTGAAAACAGCTCCCTGTCATAGTTCCACTTGTTCATTCATAGAGACTCCTGAAGTCCATCAGTTGGCTTGGGGATGCAAAGCTGGTAAGCTTTTGATGAGATACCAAAGGGCCTATCAAAGATGTAGTGAGTCTTCCTGTACTGAATCCACAAAATAGATTCAAGGAAGGTGAAAGACATCTGCTAAGGAACATGTGTGTGATTGAAGATCAAACAAAAATTCAAGACAATGATAAGTTTTCTTTTTTTTTTTTATTCTTTTTTTATTATTCATATGTGCATACAAGGCTTGGTTTTTCTCCCCCTGCCCCCACCCCCTTACCACCCATCCACCTCCCTCTCCGCCCCCCCCTCAATACCCAGCAGAAACTATTTGCCCTTTATCTCTAATTTTGTTGTAGAGAGAGTAATAAGCAATAATAGGAAGGAACAAGGGGTTTTGCTGGTTGAGATAAGGATAGCTATACAGGGCATTGACTCACATTGATTTCCTGTGCGTGGGTGTTACCTTCTAGGTTAATTCTTTTAATCTAACCTTTTTCTCTAGTTCCTGGTCCCCTTTTCCTATTGGCCTCAGTTGCTTTAAGGTATCTGCTTTAGTTTCTCTGCATTAAGGGCAACAAATGCTAGCTAGTTTTTTAGGTGTCTTACCTATCCTCACCCCTCCCTTGTGTGCTCTCGCTTTTATCATGTGCTCATAGTCCAATCCTTGTTGTGTTGCCCTTGATCTAATGTCCACATATGAGGGAGAACATACGATTTTTGGTCCTTTTTGGCCAGGCTAACCTCACTCATGATGTTCTCCAATTCCATCCATTTACCAGCGAATGATAACATTTCGTTCTTCTCATGGCTGCATAAAATTCCATTGTGTATAGATACCACATTTTCTTAATCCATTCGTCAGTGCTGGGGCATCTTGGCTGTTTCCATAACTTGGCTATTGTGAATAGTGCCGCAATAAACATGGATGTGCAGGTGCCTCTGGAGTAACAGTCTTTTGGGTATATCCCAAGAGTGGTATTGCTGATCAAATGGTAGATCGATGTCCAGCTTTTTTAAGTAGCCTCCAAATTTTTTTCCAGAGTGGTTGTACTAGTCTACATTCCACCAACAGTGTAAGAGGGTTCCTTTTTCCCCGCATCCTCGCCAACACCTGTTGTTGGTGGTGTTGCTGATGATGGCTATTCTAACAGGGGTGAGTGGAATCTAGTGTGGTTTTAATTTGCATTTCCTTTATTGCTAGAGATGGTGAGCATTTTTTCATGTGTTTTCTGGCCATTTGAATTTCTTCTTTTTGAGAAAGTTCTGTTTAGTTCACCTGCCCATTTCTTTATTGGTTCATTAGTTTTGGGAGAATTTAGTTTTTTAAGTTCCCTGTTATTCTGGTTATCAGTCCTTTGTCTGATGTATAATTGCAAATATTTTCTCCCACTCTGTGGGTGTTCTCTTCAGTTTAGAGACCATTTCTTTTTGAGACAGAAGCTTTTTTAGTTTTTGAGGTCCCATTTATCTATGGCTATCTCTTAGTTGCTGTGCTGCTGGGGTTTCATGGAGAAAGTTCTACCTATACCTACTAATCCAGAGTATTTCCTACTCTTTCTTGTATCAACTTAAGAGTTTGGGTCTGATATTAAGATCTTGATCCATTTTGAGTTAATCTTGGTATAGGGTGAATACATGGATTCTAGTTTCAGTTTTTGCAGACTGCTAACCAGTTTTCCCAGCAGTTTTTGTTGAAGAGGCGCTATTTCTCCATCGTATATTTTTAGCTCCTTTGTCAAAGATAAGTTGCTCATAGTTGTGTGGGCTTCATATCTGGATCCTCTATTCTGCTTCCACTGGTCTCATGTCTGTTTTTGTGCCATACCATGCTGTTTTTGATTGTTATTGCTTTGTAATATAGTTTGAGTCAGGTATTGTGATACCTCCTGCATTGTTCTTTTGACTGAGTATTGCCTTGGCATTCGTGGCCTCTTGTGTTTCCATATAATTACAGGTAGATTTTTCAATCTCTTTATGAATGTCATTGGAATTTTGATGGGAATTGCATTAAACATGTAGATTACTTTGGGGAGTAGACATTTTTACTATGTTGAATTCTACCAATCCATGAGCATGGGAGATCTCTCCACTTTCTATAGTCTTCCTCAATCTCTTTCTTCAGAACTGGTATAGTTTTCCTTGTAGAGGCTTTCACATCTTTTGTTAGTTTTACACCTAGGTATTTGATTTTTTTGAGGCTATTGTAAATGGAATTGTTTCATACATTCTTTTTTCCGTTTGCTCATTGTTAGTGATAGAAATTGCTAAATGATTTTTCTAATGTTGATTTTAATATCCTGCTACCTTTGCTTATAGCTCATTGATGAGTCTAGAAGCTTCTGAGTAAGAGTTTTTTGGGTCTTTAAGGTATAGGGAATTCATGTCGTCCTGCACAAGTAGGGATATTTTGACAGTTTCTTTACCTGTTTGTATCCTTTTTTATTCCTTCTATCTTGCCTATTGCTCTGGCTAGGAATTCCAGTACTGATGTTGAATAGGAGTTGGAGAAGTGGGCATCCTTTGTCTGTTCTGTTTTAAGAGGGACATGGTTTTAAATTTTTCTCCATTAATTATATGCTGGCTGTAGGTTGTCATATCTACGCTTTTACATAATGGTTGAGGAACTTTCCTTCTACTTCCTAGGTTTCTTAGAGCTTTTTATATTGAAATGATGTAAAATAAGGCACATTTAAGTATAGATGATGGAAAGGCAGATGTTAATAGGAGAAAATGTTTTTTTCTATTACTAATAGAAATGGTTCATTCTGTTTTTCCGCCCAAGTATGCAGTATAACTTGCAGTAACCTTATAACCCCATCATTTCTGGTTCTCTGCCACCTCTTAGTACTTTGACTTTGTAATAGGAAAATATTCAATATACTCCTGACTTAATCACAATACCATCCAATGTGTCAGTGGTACACAGGAAGTGCAACCCTTTGCTTTCTAGGTCCCTGTTAGAACCACCAGATCTTCACTTTTGGGGAACCTTATACCCCCTGAGGATGTGAGAAAACTATGATTTCTCTCTTCATATAAGAATTGTACCTAATCTACAGTTCGATACTGAATTTCAAAAGGTTTTTTTCTACTCCCTGCAACTCATCCATGGATGCCTCCAGCCTGGAGATTTTAGGGTAATCTCTTGAGTTAGACAATACCAAGTTGTCTGCTTTCTCCATAAGAGTGCAGTACATAGAATGAAGACATCTGCTTATGGGTGAAGAGAAGAGCGGCAAGCTTTAAATGGTAAGTATTATTTTTTTCAAGTCAGAAAATACTCAGAGGAAGGAAAAAGACCATTCAAATGCCAGGACTTGGATACACATAAGTAAACGCATGCAAGTGGGAGATTTGGCTTAATTCAAGTACAAAATATTTCAGCTCCATGAGGGAAGCTAACCATAGACCAAAATCTCAAAGTATATATGTGAAACCATTTAGTATTTTAAAAGGTCCAATATTTTACTTTGTCAAGAAATTCACAAACTTCATAGAAATTTTAATGGTACAACAAACATTTTAAATATGAGGGTTGGCAATGTTGAGAAATATTTTGGCACAGGTTCTAATGGAGATTGTTGATCTTTTTTTTCAGGGACACAGTAGCAAATTTAAAAGCTAGTTATTGAGAACTTGGAAGATACCTCCCTAATTTACAACTATTTTAAGGCACATCAGATTAGGGTCTGAGACTTCCTGATATTATGCTTCTAATTGTAGGGTAAAACATTTGTCCTATTCAACTGAAGACAAAAATTAGAAAAAAAAATGTGTGTGTGTATATATATATACTTATTGTGCACATGTATTCAAAAGCTCAAATTCTAGTTACTAACCTCCCTCTACTGGCAATATCTTCAATTAAGTGACTATAGATTAGAGAGTATAGAAGAGCCCTCCAGTGAGAACTCAAGTAAGCCTGTAGAGAAATGCTTAATAATGCCAAAAGAGAGATTTGAACTTAAATCACTTTGTGATTGAGATCACATCCTAACTTTTTTTTAATGGGGAACAAGGATTTAGAAGTTCTTCACTTATAAGATCCTGTTTCCATAAACTGGCCTTAAATCTTACATTAAAAATGTGGCCAGGAAAATATTTTGATGATGTCTCAAAAAGTTACACATAGTATTACTATATGACCTAGCAATTCAAGTCATAGGGAAATGAAACTAGAGGTCAAACAAAAAGTTATATATGAATGTTCACAGCAGTGTAATTTATAATAGGAAAAAGGAAAAACAACCCAAATGTCTTTCAATTGATGAAGAGACTAACAAAATGTAGCATATTCACACAATAGAATATTACTTGTCAATAAAAAGTAATGATGAATTGATAGACACTACAACATGGGTGAACTTTGAGAAACATGCTAGGTGAAAGAATCCAGACACAAAAAACCAATATTGGTATGATTCCATTTATATGAAATATCCAAAATAGCAAATGCAGAGAAACAAAGCAGGTTATGGTGCTAGACGCTGAGAGGGAGAGGGAACAGTCAGAGTGACCTCTTAACTTCATAAGCAGTTTCTTTCTGGAGTT